GCGCGGGCGGGGCTGTGGGAAAGGGCGCGCGGGCGCAGCCCCGTTCACGGCCGGCCAGCGCGGCTTTGAAATCCGAGCCCGGGCGCTGCCAGACTCGTCGGGAGAGCGCGGGCGCCACGGCGGGTCGGGGGCGGCGCTGGGGCGGGGCCCGGCCCCCCACTCTCCCGGGGAGGGACTCGACGACACCTTCCAGTCTTTGGTCTCGGGCGGGGGCTTCCCGCGCTTTCACAGACGGACAGTGGCTATAGCACGCCCCACACGGCGGCAGGATGGGGTCCCCGGTGCATGCTTCCACCGCCGGACACCTACGCAGCATAGAACAGGGGCGCAGGTCATGCGCGCCGCCCGCTTTGGGACATTTCATCTCAGGCGCAGACCCTTCTCCATAAGTTTCCAAGCGGTGCTGATGCCACTCGGATGGAGTGCACAAGGCCAGGCTTTTGAGGGGTGATGGTCTCTTGGGTGGGGGGTCCGTTTCGGACCAGCTGAGGAGGATTGTCCCTAGTCCCTGATGCCTGGGTACACGTGTGGGAAGGCAGGCGTGTGCACGTGGGTGGCAAGTACAGCCTGTCGTCCTGGAGATTCCAGGAGGGAAACCCACCCTCGCTGGGCAGTGAAATGCTGGGGCTCTGGGGAAAAGCAGGCCCAAGCTTCTCCCCGACTCCAGAGGGCTGTGGGAGCCACTTGGGAGCTCATTAGGAGGCCAAGTTGAACTTCCCAATGCCTGGGACAGGTGAACCCTTGCCTACAGGTGCTGGAGAGAAGCTTGCTCAGCCAAACCAAGGGCTGGGGCACCTGTCCCCTGGACTGGTCTATAGCCCAGTGATCTGCAAAGTGTTCTGCAGTGTGCAATTAATTTCCTTTCATTCCGAAGCTCCCGAGGCTCAGCTCCATCTGCCCAACGGGGACCAGGATGGAGGTAGGATGGAAAAGTCAGATTAGGGGCTGGGGGAGGCAGAGGTCAGGTTCCAGGGTAGGCCAGTGCCTGGTCTGTCTAGAAAGGTGCGGGTCCTAGAGGTGGAGAGCCTGCCCCAGGCCCACAGACCCGTCAGGTGAGTGGGCCCTGATCAGGCCCTGGTGGTGCTGCCAGCACTCCTCGAGGTCACCAGGAAGCCAGGTCTCCTGGACAGAAGGTGAGGCCTGGGGCAGCTGTGGTACCAGGCAGAGGCAGGTGGCAGCTGGGAAGGAGCAGGCGGGTGCAGATTGAGGGTTTTCTGTCATTTCTTTATTGGGGCATGTGTGTGCACGAGCATCGTTCAGAAAAGATCTTGTGCTGGTCCCTATGTGCATACAAGTACACACACACGTACATACACACATGTTCACATGTGTATATACAAGACCAGAGCTCTGGCAGGCTGAGGAGGGCAAGCTCTTTTTGCAAGAGGGTATTAGAAAGAGATTGATTCCAGAGCCTGGGTGGCGTCTGAGGCTGTGGCCCCACCCTGGTGAGAAGCCAGCTGTCTGAATGCTGGGGTGCAGCTGACAGCACTGGGGGCCTGGGGGTGGGGCTGGGCTGTGAGAGGAGCTCAGCAGGACAGAGCAGCCTCTGTCCCCCACACCATGCCCTGGGCTGGTGATTGGGCCCCGTCCCGCCCGAGAGGCAGGTCCTTGGGCTCCTTGGGGAGGGGGTCTGAAGACCCTGAGTGCTTCATGGGACCACTTGTTGGGCCCTTCTCCATGCCAGGCCTGTCAGAGGACAACCCTCCGGTCCAGGTGATCCCCACGCCCACTCCGCTGGTGCCTCACTTCCAGGTGCTTGTTCTGGACCTTTTCAAAGTGCTGCAGCAGTTCTGCGTAGTCGATGCTGGGGGAGTCGGCTTTCTGGGACTTGGGGGCTGCCTTCAGACTATCTCTGGAAAGAGGGAGCAGAGCTCAGCATCAGTGTATCATACAGGTGGGGCTGCTGGTGGAGGCAGTGGGGTCGGGGCAGAGCCACAGGCAGGTGGGGCTCAGCCTCAGGGATTCTGGTGCCTCGTGCCTGGCAGTCTTTACCCAACAGCCAGCCCCAAAGAGCTAGGGAGCCCCATGAGCATCCCCTTCTGCTTTGTGGGAACAGCCACCACTGCTCCTTGGATATCACCCTCAGCCTGTGGGCTGGCAATGGCACCCAGAGCAGGCATCGCATTGGGAAGCATTTCCTGTTTACGAGTGGCTCTTTTGGGGTGAAAGCCAAGGCTAGCTGCCAGCCAGGAAGCCAGCTGGGGCCTGGAACAGGGTCTGCGGAGAAGGGGGAGGAGGCAGTTTGGCCCTTTCTCTGATGCAGGGCTAGGGATGGGGACAAGCGGGATCTCTGGAGTCTCTGCTGGGCCCTCAACTTGGCAGGACATTTGTTTTTGAGTGTTGCGGCCGAGGACTGCAGTCACTCCCCGTTCTTGGGGAAGGAAAGCTGGACATGCTGATGGCTCCTACACTCCTGTTACCACCTTCCCCAATTGCTCTGTACAGCAGCACAGGTTGTGCACTGTACAACTGCAGTATGTACAGTACTTCCTATAATTGCACAGTGTAGTGGCCCTACTGTCCCCCTCAAGCCCAGTACTTATCTTGCCCCTGGGGACTGGATCCCCTTGGGCCCTGTCCCATTCCTAACTATCCCTCCAGCAGAATCTCATGAAATGTTCACTTCCTCCCTTACTGGCTTGGAGAAGCAGATCTGTGTTGGCTGAGCAGTATCTGCTTCTAGCTCCTGAGACCTGGTGGCCCTGGTGAGGGGCTCAAGAAGACTGTGGGCTGCTCAGCTAAGCAGACACTCCTTGGGCCCTTTGAGTTCATGAAGAGTCCCTAGTATGGGGGGGTCCAGGCAGCAGCTGGGCACAGGAGATAGACACACCTGGACCTAACCATAACATGACCACTTCCTAGCCATTTGACCTTGGACATGTGACTCAGTTTCCTCATCTGTAAAGGGGCGACTGCCACACAAGCCACCCTATGGTATGGTTGTAAAGATTCCTTGATACAATGTGTAAGAGCCCAGCCTGGTGCCCAGCCCCAGCCTAGGCACCTGACGGGCAGCTGCTCTTAGCTACAACTCTGCCCCTCTAGGTGGGACCAGCAAGGGCACAGGAGATCAAGGCCTGTGCAGATCGGCTGCTCAGTCCATTTTGGGGGAAACACAATGGAGCTCCCTGCAATGGAACCCTCACCAATGAGCTTGGCCCAGCACAGAAGACCAACAGCCAGAGCCTGACAGGCATCTGTGACAGTCTACCAGGCTGCTGGGGCAGGACCAGGGGCAGAGGGACTCTTCCCACAGTCTAGATGCCATCTGGATCCCGGAGGTGGCCTCCTACTCCACACCTGTTCCTATCCTGCCTTCCTGTTGAAGAGGCACCACCAGAAAACATCCTGGACAGAGTCTGCGGCTGCTTTGTTTCTGGGCCTCGAGACCCTTCCTCCTGGTCAGCATTAGCAGAGAACTCCACACCTGTTCCTATCCTGCCTTCCTGTTGAAGAGGCACCACCAGAAAACATCCTGGACAGTCTGCGGCTGCTTTGTTTCTGGGCCTCGAGACCCTTCCTCCTGGTCAGCATTAGCAGAGATTAAAGTTACCCGGGTGATGCCCACTCCAGGGGGCCAGTCTGTGGGCTCCAGTTGTAGCTTTCAACTCCCCTGGGAATGGGGGAAGGACCTCCCTGGCATAGTAACCCTGTGATCCAGGTGCTACTGCCCCAAGAGAGCAAACTGGGCTTCTGAGGAGGCCGAGGGAGCCTGGAGCCTGGAGCCCCAATCCCAGGGTGTGGCCAGATGCTCTCCTGACCCATTTAGGCTGGGACAGGGGAAGAGATGTGCAGGTCTGAAGATAGGAGGACACAGGGATGACACTGAAGTGTTGTCTGATGCTGAGTGCTCACGGATATGTATGCTAGTCCCCATGACACTCAGGTAAGCCAAAGCATTAGGTCCAGGGGAGAGACTGAGATTAGGGGATTTTAGGGAGATGCTAGCAATGGATGGCTAACCTGGGGTGATGTGCACAGGTGTGGCCAGGGTGGGGGTGGGGAGGAGTGGGTGCATCTTGCTCTCTGGGCTCTCAGGGTGGCAAGAAGTTCTGTACCCAGTGATGGGCAGGCCCTTCCTGGCCTGACCTCTTGGGAGTAGGGATAGAGGTGGGAGACACTGGGCCTTCTGAGCACAGAGACCAGGGCTCCTCTCCCTGCCTGTCCTAATGGGCACAGTCACTGCTCAGGCCCTTCATGTTCTCTGTGTTTACAATAACTCTCAGGCACCGAGTGACCGAGGACACACAGCCTGTGGCACAGAGCTGGGATTCCAGAACCCAGAGCTGGCCCTCTCCCCTGCCACCCCACTCACACACTTGTCACCAGCTTTTTCTTCAGAGGTTCCCTCCTGCCTCACCGAGGAGATGGTTGGTCCCTGAGGAGTGGCCTGGAAGCTGGAGGGGGCTATGGTCCCCAAGCCCTGCCAGCCCCCTGTGTACACAGAATGTGGGATGGGTGAGCGCAGAACTCCCCAGCTGTTCCTGGCTCGCGGGCCTGTCAGGCAACTCGACGCTGTCTGCCAGCTGCCTGCCCCTCCCAGGGCTGGGACTGTCCTCAGCCCCCTTCCCAGGGTGTGAGCTGTCCTTCTGTGCCCAACCCTGCAATCTGACCGCTCCCCCAGCTGTTGCTGAGGCCCCTCACTCGCCCACTGCTCCTGTGCCCCTATCTTGATACCTCTTCCTAGGTCCTTGCAAAGAAAGCTGGGAAGTGAAGCCTGTGAAGACTGAGAAGAGCCTCACACACCCATATAGTCCAGATGTATATTTGCTAATGAAAAAACCAAGAGCCCAGAGAGGGCATAGGGCCTGCCTAAGGTCACACGCAAATGCACGGCAGAGCTCGGATCAGATCCTAGTACGGGCCTGTGACCACTCGCCGACCCATAGAATCTTCTACCCAGAGGCCTCCATCTGACTGACAATGGGAGTTCATGAGGAAATCCTCATTTTCCCCAGCTTCCTTCTGCAAACTTGTTCTACCCTGGCTTAGGGAGTGTGGGGAGGGGTCCAACTGCCTGAGCCTTCTCTGCCCTCCCCAGACTAAGAGATGTAGCACGCCAAGCTCTGAGAGTGGCAGTGGCCCTTAGCAGCGGAGGGCTGGTCGCCTGGCCCAGAAGCCTCCCCCAGGAAGGCGGGCTGGTTCCCATGGGGAAACTGGAGGTCACAGGGAAGCAGCCCTTCCTTCCTCCTTCTCCCCCTCCTAAGTGCCTGCTAGCGTGACCCTAACACTCTTTGGGTGTTGGAAAGGCCGGTGCAGAGGCCAGGCCAGCAAGGCCGGTGTGGCTTTGGGCCCCTCTCCGAGTCACAGGAGCCAGAGGCGCTCTGGCAGAGGGAATCCAAATGCAAACCCAACTCCATGGCCGCCTCCCGCTCCCCTGGGACACACAGTACACCGAATGCTGTCTCCTGGGTATTACCTGAGTGACACCCTGAGCAGCTGGGACAAGGCCTAGTCATGCCACCCTGGAGTGCTGCTGCTAGGGAATGGGGTAGGGAAGACAGGAGCTGGGCCATAGCCTGGGGCGGACAACCTGTCAGGTGACCCACACTCAGCTTCTGCAGAGACCAGGCTAGGTGGGGGGTAGAGAGCCTAAGCCCAGTGGTACGGAAGGCACAGGAGACTCTGGGCAGTCCCATCTTGAGGCTGCCTGTCCATCCCAAGGGCAAACACCCGAGGCCCTTGGCTGGAATGAGGCGCCAGGCCTGCTGAGTGGCTCTAACAGCCTGGGAGGGAATTCTAGACACACAGGGCATCTGATGCAAGCTGGGCACGCTCCATTCAGCATAAATCTTCTCAGTGGCTCTGCTTGTTTCCATGGCGACCTGACAAGTGAAATTTTCCATCTCGGATGCCAAATGCCTGTGGATGAGGCAAAGCCTCCAAGGGTTACCAAATATAGACACAGCCCAACAGGCTCTGGGGCCGGGGCCAGCAGTGGGCTCAGGGTGGGAGCCTGGACCCCCCTGCCCAGAGGCTGCCATGGTGGGCCTATTGGTGGAGGAGAGCCTGGGACCCACTAACTGCATGGGCAGGACCTGAGCAGGGAGCCACGGGTGCACCCCTGCCTCCCACTCCACCCAGGAGGGGGTGGGGAGGGCTGTCTGGGGTCTGGTCAGCTCTCCTGCTTGACTGCCACCTGGGCCCCCATTTCTAAGCTGGGGCAGGAGCTCTTCCCCCTCCCTGGAGTTTCTCTCCAGGGGCCTCTGTTTGGGCAACTCTGTGGTTATGGGGTGGGTGGCAGCCACAGTGACAAAAGGGGCAGGATACTGGGGTGAGGGAGACCTCAGAGACCCCTCAGCCGCCCCCTCCCTCCTTGCAGAGCAAGTGGCCCCAGGCTGGCACTTACTCGGTCTGCAGCAGCTCAGGGTTGGGCACACACTGGAGCCGGTGGGACAGCAGCTGGAAGGCGCTGCTTTGGGGCAGCAGCATGAGCAGGCCGTAGAGGGCCTTGATCAGGTACGGGTGGTTCTTAACATCCAGCAGCTGCAGGCGCAGGTCTGTGGCAGGGCAGAGGGCAGGGGTCAGGGGACTGGCACTGCTGTGGGAGACACCCAGCCCAGACCCCTTGCCTCAGCTTGGCCAGGAGAGGGCCAGAGCCACCCTGGACCCGAGGACCCAGCTGTGTGGGGCCAGCGGGCAGCTGTGGCTGAGGGAAGCAGGGCTCCTCCGCCTCCAGCAGTGTCTCGGCTGTTTCCATGATCTCACCTCTTTCTTCTTCCCTACCACCTGCTGGTCTGTCTGGTCTTTCCAATAGTCACCTCAGCCAGACGATCCCCAACTTGCTGCTGGGCCTAGTCGATGTCCCCTCCATACACCCCCCAACCCCCCAGCTGCCTCCCTGGTAATAAGAGGGCTTGGGGCTTGTAGTGTAACAGATTCCCCAGTCGGCTTGCACGTGCCCGCACGAGAGAGCTATAAATAGAGTATGCTGGAGAGAAAGACAGTGGATTAGGACAGCTTTAAGGGAGGCAGGATGGAAAACTGCTTTGTGTGTAGCCAGACACACCACAGCCCAGGAGTGTCTGGGAGGTGCTTCTGGATGTCCACCTCAGACACCAGGCTTGCCACCATCCCACCTAAGGGAGAGGACACTCCCCTGGTCTCGCCCGGCACACGTTCCAACCCAAGTTGCCTGGGCTGTGCTGGTGGCAGTCCCAGCTTCCCCAAGGCCCAAAGGGGAGACCAGACTCGAAACGGGCTCTCACTTCTCTCCTAAGAGCCTCTCCAGGAGAGCCACTGGATGGTCTGTCTCCTGGTCCAGTCCAGGGCATCTTCTGTGCAGCATAAGCCACAACGTCCTTCCGGATAGTGGACATGTCTCCCCAGTAGCAGCTGTGCAGGGTGTCTAGGCTGACGCTGGGGGCCTTAGGGCCAGGGTGTCAGTGAACCAAGAAGCAGGGGACTGAGGGCCTCCCACAGCCCCTCCTCTTGCCCCACGAAGGAGGAGCCACCAATGGAGACCTAAACAGGTGTTTCCAGGCCTGGCTGCTCCAGCAAAAGTCTGAGCCTGCTTCAAATCCTTTCTTCCAGTTGGGCCTTGGGGAAGCAGGGACTGCCTTGAGGCCAGGTCAGCCACCAGCAAGGCCCAGGCAGCTCAAGGTTGGGATGGGTGCTGGGCAGAGACCAGGGGTGCATCTCTGCTGTAGTCACCTTTCCCCAACAAAGCCCTGGGCCTGAGAAGAAGGTGCCTGTGGCTTCTCCATGGTCAGGGTGAATCACCTCAGGTGAATGAGCAGGTGCCTGGCCACCCAGGGAGGCCCTGAGGAAGTGAGCTCTCAGGCGCAACACACTTGGGACAGACTGTAGTGCACTCTGCTGAGAACAGGTCTCCCTCCTGCTTTTCTGTTTCAGGGTGTCAGTCACCGATGTACTCTGCTGCTTGGAGAAGCTGGCCCTTTGACTAGGAGTTGGGGGAGGGAAGAGGAGGGGAGGGGGCCCCCATCCCTGCATTCACTTTCAGGATCCGGGGTGAAGGCTGATGGGCCCAGGTGGGTGGGGCAGAGACGCTGCCAAGGAGTGGGAGGCCTGGGCCTCCAGCCTGGCAGGGAAGGTGGCCACCAGCAGAGCCGCCTCCCGGCTTCTCCACACGCCATCAACACAAGCGTCATTTGCAGCACACCCGCTTTGGGGAGCAAGCGCTGTATGTACCAAGGCTCCAGGAGCTGTGCCCGCCCCAGCCAGCTGCCGCTTGTGCACATTCAGCCTGGGTGCTACTACCCAGGCATCTCCTGCCCATCAGCTCTAGCAAATGCTAGCGCTTCTTTCAGAAATGTAAGGACATGGCTGTCAGGCAAAGACAAGTACTGCAGGGGGCCCAGAACTTCAGAGAACCTGGGCAGAGGACAGCATGCCTGGGAGGGGTGGCTTGGGACAGCCTGGGGGTAGGGCCTGATGTCAACCTTCAGGTGGGTTGTGCGGTCAGCACTGGCCTGTGTCCATGAGGCCCACTTTGAGAGACATAGGCAGGACCCAGATTCTAATGCCATGTGCCCTAGACCTGCTCCAGCTGGTCTCTCAGCCCTGTCATCCCCAGTCTTACATTCTTGACATTCCAGAAGCATCCCTGGGGTGACTGCCCTCCCTCCCTCCCCAGCCTCAGCCAGCTGTCTCTGAGTGTGGCTCCACCCCGACCTTGCTCCAGGCTGGCCAAAGGCTCACTGCTGGGCCTGTGGTCCCTGCTAGATCAAGCTAGGCCAGACTCAGGGCTTACATGTGAAGATGGGACACTCAATCAGCTGCACCAGCTTGTCCACCTCTGTGAGGAAGTCCACAGTGACCTCCAGGTCCCCGCTGGGTGGGCAGTCAAGGAAAGTCTGACCATGGGGCCAGCACAGCCTGTGTCTGAGAGGGGCCACTGGAGCTCAGGGGGGCCAGGCTGGCCCCACCTTACAAGCAGGTGGCAGAGGTGGAATGCAGGGTTTTGGCGGGGCAGCTCAGAGCACTCTGTGTCCTTCCCACCTGCCCCTGGTGTCCTGCACACAGAGCCTGGTTCTTGCTGAGCAGGATGTGGCATACAGAGGATATGTCTATTATCCTGTCTGCCTTTCTGCCCCTCTGAATGGAAAGCAGCAAGGCTGTCCCTCTTGCACGGGTGCTCTGGGTTCCGCTCCAGCCATTCTCTTTTCTGCACCCCCTGGGCTTGAAAAGGCTCTTATCACAGCTCTGCAGCCTGTCAGGGGAGGGCTGGGCAGGAACGGCCCGGCTCCTGCCTGAGTGTATGGCTTGCCAGCAGGCAACATCAGGGCTGCAAGGACTGCAGCGTGTGGAGCTGGGGGCAGTGGCCTGTTGGTCCTGGGTCCCACAAGCAGCTGAGAGAAGCAAATCCAGGCTGTGGAAGGAGAGCAGGCATCCTGAGGGGAGCCTACCAAGGCCAGACCTGACCTTCTTTCCTCACCCCCAACACCTGGCCCATCAGACAAAGAGGCCAGCTTTGCCTCCTAAAAAGTGCTGCTATCCAGGGTCACATGGCAGGCATTCACAGACGAGGCTGTGCTGCTTCTGTGTTTAAATAAAACCTATATGTGCCTTTCGATGGGGCAGGTGCTGAATGTGTGTGGGCTTGGTCCCCTTCCCAAGGCCTCTTGTCTGTCTGGCCTGCTCCTCCCCATTGTGTCAAATGCCGAGGCTGCTCTGTGGCTCCTGGAAGTCCCATACCTGAGCTTGAGCCTGCAGGCCTCATCTAAGATGGGCTGCCCGCCTGCAGCAGTCCCCCCCCTGCTACCCGTTCCCAAGCCTTCCCTCCCACCCCTGCCCTGGCACTGGGCCAGGCACAGGGTGGCCAGCAGGATCTGCGGGGGACTGAGAGTACCTGCCTCTTCCCCAGGGCAGGAGCTGGGGCTTGTCCTCGCCCAGATGGCTCCTGGGGCACCACCTGCCAACACAAGCTGGGTTGGGCTCACTCAGCCCTGATCCCAACTCACAAGGTTCCTCCAGGGCCAGTTCCCCTCCAGGAAGCCCCCGAATGGCTCCAGTGCCCCTGGCCAGGTGGCCATGGCCCTGATGTCCCAGCCCTTGAGGCTGAGTAAAGGGGCAGGGGCAGGAGGATGACACAGGAAGGGAGCAGATGACCCTTGTGGGCCCCTCAGTGGTCAGACCCCAACAGTGGTGAGAGGAAGGATACAACTTCTGGATGAGGTCATAGGCGTGCCGGTAGTTCTGGGTAAGGAAGCAGAGTGACACTGTGGTGACCGGGTTGTGGCACCAGGAGCGGTACAGGCAGCAGAACAGGTTCTGGCTCTCCTGAGGGTGAGAGGCGAGCAGTCAGGAGAGTCCCTGCTCCTTCCCACCCGGTCACTGAATGCGGGGACCTGTTGGGGGAAGGGCCACAGGTCTGAGAACCAGGGGCCCTCGTCAGCTCAGCACCCTGGGCTGTGTTTGGCAGCCCAGCTGGGGATGAGCTGTCACAAAGGAAACACTGACAAGCTTCTCCTCAGACCCTGTCATTACCTCCTGGTCCCACAGAGCCATGTGGGGTGGCCACCAGGGCCTGGCCTGGAGTGAGGCTCTCCTTTATGCTGGCGTTTCTGCCCTCGGCCAAATAACAGTAACTGTCCTCCCCTGAGCTCTATGTCCCAGGGCCGAGGGGCCGGGAGGGTGAGGTGGGTGCAGGCAGGCGGAAGCTTCCTCAGGCCGGGCTCTCCGGGCGGGGGTGTCCTCCTCCCCTCTGCAGCCCACTTCATACACCCAGGACGCTGGAAACCAGCCCGGGAGCTGAGCCCACACTCGGGAGAGCCCCTGACCCTGAGGAAAATTCTTGAGGCCTCTGCGAATGTCTGGAAGGAACCACAGGAGGAGGCAGGGCTGTGGTCTGGGTCAGTTCCGAGCCACTTGGCCCCAGACGCCCTCAGATTCAGGCTTGGATGTTCCCGAGACTCCTGTGAGGGAGGTGGGAGCAGGGTCTGCAGGGTCTGAGCTCGCAGGAGGCACCAGGTGGTGACTGAAGCCCAGCCTGGGGAACGAAAGCCCTGGAGGTCCTGCGTGCGGGGTGGTGCCTATCCCTGGGGGCCCTTGGCCTGCATCTCTCCGTCCTGCAGGGGGGTGAGCATCTCCCTCAACTCCTACTAGCCCTAGGTGCGTCCTCACCCAAAGCCTGGGACACCCTGACTTATGACAGGCGCCTTGTGAGACAGATGTGTCCAGCTGTGGGTGGGAGGGGCAAGACCAAGAGAAGGGCCAGGAGAGAATGAGCCTGATTCCCCTGCAGGGTTATAATCTGGAAGCCTGGCCTGGAGAGGCTGTCATCATCCAGCGGTGGGCCCAGAGACAGCAGAACCTCTGTTTCTGAGGGGCAGTGCCTGGGCTGGGGTGGGTGTCAACGAGTGGACAAGGCAGGGCCGCCGGTGGGTCAGGGCGGACACATGGGCCCTGGACAGAGTACGGAGCCTTCTGCTGACAGAGGCTTCAGCAGTGGGGACTCGCTCCATGACTAGCGCTTACACGTAGCTATTCACCAGGGGATCCATATTTCACACGGGGCCAGGGAAGATCTCAATTCCATCCGCATCTCCTCTCCGCGGGCCTCCTGGGGCCAGCCGAGGGGCATACAGGATTAAACCTGGGTTAGAGCCCAGGGACATGGAGTACCAGAGTCTTCAGGTCCTTGAGCTGGTTTCTCAGCTGGAAGAGCTCTGTGGAGGTCAGCAGGATGGTGTTGAGGGTGTGGACCATGGTCGAGGCGAACTTGAGGTCCTCCTCTCGGAGTAGGATGTCTGCCATCGAGTGGAAGATGTTCTCAGCGTTCAGCAGGAGACAGAGCTGCCTGGAAAACAGGCAGAGAGTACATTACGGCTAGGCCATACCAGGAAACGCTGGGCCTCAACTTGGGAACCCCCCTCTGGTTTTTCTGCATCCCGGGGAAGCCTACTCTTTCCTGGGGCTGGTGTGGAACCTGACTCTGAAGCCTGTGGGGGGACGTTGGGGTGCTGTTCACAGGAGGCCTGGCTTCATGCTCCCAACAGCCTCCACCCTGGCCCAGCAATCCAGAGCCCCCAGGCTGTATTCCCCCAACCCCCTCCCTGGAGAAACAGCTGGGCCGCTGGCTACCAATGGTGTTGCAGGGCCCTAAGTTACCTTCCTCAGCTCCCACAAACATCAGCACCCTCTCACCCCTTGCCCCACATAAGCCAAGGCCCTCCTGCCCCCTTCTGGGCTTTATTTCTCTAGAGCTCACTTTCATCAGACAAATTCTCCACATACTGGTCATCTGTTTCCTGTTCCCCATGCCCATGAAAGCCCCCGAGGTCAGGGATCTGTGCCACTCCTGCTGCGTCTCCCTGGCGTGGAGTGATGCCTGCAGGCAGGAAGGCTCAGTAGGTACTGGTGGAATGGGCAGACCCTCACGGCAACCCCGACTCTTTTCCTCACTATATAGATGATGAAACTCAGGCATGGGGAGGTGAAGTGACCAGGACAAGGTGGCAGGATCAGGCAGGGCCACTGCTGGCTCCATCAAGGGCAGACCCTCACGGCAACCCCGACTCTTTTCCTCACTATATAGATGATGAAACTAAGGCATCGGGAGGTGAAGTGACCAGGACAAGGTGGCAGGATCAGGCAGGGCCACTGCTGGCTCCATCAACCCCTGGGCCGTGTCTCCTTTCCTCCTCCTCTCCTCTAGTAAGAGTGTCAGGGGATAAGGATTGGGCTTTATGGAAAGGAGTCTCTGTGTTATAAAAAAGAAAAACAGACACCAAGGTCAAGGGATTGGATCCCCGTAGCCACCAAAAAAAAAAAAAAAAAATAAATAAAAAACATAAAGGAAAACAAGAAACCCAGAGAATGAAGAAAAACAGCTTTTCCAGGGTCCCTGGGGCAAGGTGATGTTAATGGTGACATGTGGTGTCAAGGGCAGGCTTGTTGACCTCACCCCTTCACCACCATGCCCTCAGACTTGGCCTTGAGGGAAGAGCACCCCGAAGGCCATCTGGGCAATGGCTTCCCAGCTGGGGTGGGAAGACCTCCCGCTGGGAGTCCCACGGATCCGGAAGCTTCCTGCAAACCCAGAAGGAAGGAGGTAGGGGCTGGTGTCCACCCGCCCACCTCCCTGTCCCTGCTCCAGGGAGGCCTCCTCACTGCAGATGAGCCAAAGGGGCCGAAACCTCAGTTCCCGTGTGCTGAGTGACATGAGCAGCATTTTGGGGCATCATGCCTGGAACATGTTCCCTTCCTCCCAGGTCACTGAACTCATACTAAACTCATCATTATCAGGACAGTTTCTTGCTTTCCCTTGAATACCAGCCATGGTTTTGAGGCCAGGCTGGGGAAGATTCCTCCTCACCCCAGCCCAGGAAAAATCCCAGCGCAGTTGGTAGTGGAAAGGCCAAACCACGATGCACAAACGCTGGGCAGGCCGTCTCCAGCCCTGCCCCAGCTGGGACTGGCAGGCTTGGGCAAGAAACCAGGAGAGAAATCTAAACAAGGCGGCGACACTGGGGGGATGGGGCAGTGGTGGACACAGGAACAAGGGGCCACTTCGTCTCTGCTGCACACACCACTGGGACACTGCCATTTGCCCGAGTGGCTCCCTGGGTGGTAGGTGGGTGGGTGAAAGCCTCAGAGCCTGGTGCTCCCAGCCACCAGCTGCGTGATCTCAAGGTCTTGCACGACAATTTCTTCACCTCAACTGCAGGTGATACCTCTCTGTAAAATGAGGGGAAACACTCAGAGGGCAGCGTGAAAACGAGGTGCAGTTCACATGAGGTGCCCAGTGCTGGGGACGTGGTACCACGATGGCCAGCCACAGGAGGGAAGCCTGGCCAGGTTGCCTCAGTCCAAAGGCAGGGAGGGGGTGGCCCTTCTGCAGAACTCAGATGGTGCTTCCTTCCCCTCCGCTCCTCCTTCCCCTAGATAAGCCCTGTCTCCAGGGCCGTGGGACAGAAATGTTCCAGAAGGGCAGGCTGGGGAGGAAGGGGAGCGTTCTGACAAATGGTCACAAATGCCCGTCGCCTGCAGCTGCTGCCGTCTCCATGACAAGGGCCAGCAGCTGAGCTGCTGCCAGGCAGCGCTCCCCAGGGACCACAGTCCAGCCAGGACCTGCAGCAGCCTGGGGGCAGGGGCGGTGCTCTCATGGGAGGACGGGCTAGGGAGGGTGCCAGTGACAGGCAAGGGGTGGTGGTGAGGAGAGGTGGGTGCCAAGGCCTCCTGGTGTCCCAGAGAACCCAGGGAATGCTGATGGCACTACAAAAGGTCAGGGATGGAGTTTTCTGGAAACACCTTTCTCTTGCCACTAGTGACATGACCCTGTCCTGGTTTTCCTCCTACTTCACCGACTGCAACTCCTCCTCTAATGTCGGGTAGCCCTACTGCTCTTCTCTCCCTAGGCTGCGCCTCTTGGTGGTGTCAGCTGGTCCCACGGATGTGTTTGTTCAAAGCCTTCTCTAGACCAGAGACTCCTGTACGTGACTCTCCTGCTCCGAGCCCCCACTGACCTCGGGATGGGACATCTGCTTGCCCAGTATACAGCCCTGAGTGGCCACCTAACAGGCATTTCAAATTTCACAGGGCCACAACCCAACTCTTGGCATCCCTGTAGACTTGCCACACCATCCTTCCCCACCTCGGTAAATAGCGTCACTGCCCACCCCGCTGCTCAAGCCTAAACCAAGGAGTCATCCTTCACCCCCCAGCCCTTCCATTGGGTCCACTGGCAGGCCCAGGGGCTTTACCTTCAAAGCACAGCCTGTTTCAACCTTCTTGTCTCCTCTCAGCCACCATGGCCTGGGGTTAACGTCAGCCAGCTCTTGTCTGGCCAATCCTAAGATGTCTCCTGGCCTGTCTCAACCCCTGCTGTTCGCCTTCCATGACCTTCTTGTCTCCTCTCAGCCACCATGGCCTGGGGTTAACGTCAGCCAGCTTTTGTCTGGCCAATCCTAAGATGTCTCCTGGCCTGTCTCAACCCCTGCTGTTCGCCTTCCATGTACTGAGGGGACAATCCTAAAAAGTGCCAACCAGAATCCATCCCTCCGTGCTTGAGACTCATTAATGGCTTCCTGTGGATCTAAAATAAAGCCTCGCTGCTCAGCATGGCCTGTGAGATCTGACACCTGCTGCTCGGCTCCTCTCCAGCCTCATTTCTCCCTTACTCATGACGTTCTAGCCTCTTGGGCTTTTCTTCTGCTCCCGACCTCACCTAGCTGCTGCGGCCAAGAGGCTCTGGCTGATGTGCCCAGGGACCGGCGCACTGGCTCCTTCCGCCATGTGGGGCTTGGCTCCAGCCTCAGGTCCCAGTGAGGCCTGTCTGACGTGCTGCCCTGCCACCAGCCCTTCTAGGAGAAAGCCCTGTTTCTTTCACAGCACTTATCAGCACGGGATCGTCATGCTAATACGCTCTTCTCAGGGTTCCTGTCTGTCTCTCCCACTATAACATGAGCTGCAGAGGGCAGGCCTTGTCTGTGATCCTTGTGTCCCTCCACCCATGAGGAGGGCCTGGCACTCAGGAGCTGCTCAGTAACTGCTGTTGGTCGTTGCTGTGTGGAGGAAACTTGCTCACCTCCGTCAGAGGTTTCAAGGACAGGCCCACAGATGCCCCCTACTCCCCGCTCCATGGCCCCTCTGGCTCATCCCCAGGCAGGTTCCTGTATGCTGTGGTCTGCAGAAAGCAGATGCCCCGACAATAGTTTCCCCTTATCATTGCCAGGCTAGGCCCAGGGCCTGGCTGTGCTGCCCACACCTCCTTTGCTTTCTCCCTCTGCTAAGGAGTACCTTGGAGGCCAGCTCATTGCAGGAGACTCTGGAGCACGTGCTCAGCCAGCCTGAAGGATCGGCAACAACACATCGCACCCAGCCTCCTCACAGGGAGTCTCCCCCCTGAGTGCTGCTGAAGAAGACACCACAAGGGGAGCGGGGGGAGAAGCTAGGAACCGCTGGACACTGTTCGACCCCTGACCATGCTGGTTACTGGGCGGACCTGGAGGGGCTCCACTAAGAGGGGTTGCAGCAGCAGGAGGGAAACAGAGGTGGGGGCTGCAGCCTGCCTCATCTCAAGGCCACCCTATGTTTGGGGACAAGGAAAACACCTCCCAGACTGCTGGGTCATAAAGCTTTAAGAAGACAGGAATAACAGCGAAAGTGCTAGCTAGCTCATGGGACCCCCCTGCTAGATGCCAGGCACTGTGTCGAGGGGGTTAACAAACCTGTTTGGACCAGGTCAGGATGAGGTGGCAAAAAGAGCAGCACACACTGAGGGTTTACCAGGTTCGGGGCACCGTCCTGGGCACCCAAGGTAGAGGGGAAGGCGAGTCACAGTAGGTCAGGTGGGCCATATCTTGGAGAGCCCTGAAACTTGAACAGGATGCCTCCTCTTGAGCCAAGAAGGTGGGGATGGGGGAAGGAGGGCCCACTTCATTTCAATCCCAAGTTCATGACAGGACCTGCATGGATGGCCTCAGAGTTACCACATGCCTGGTGCCAGGCTCTGAGCTCCTCCTGGGGCTTCTCACTGAGTCCTCACACAACCTGGGCAGGGTATATGATTATCACCCCCATGCAGAGAAGAGGAATCTGAGGTTCAGAGGGGACCCATGCCACCAGTCACACAGCTGACCAGGGAAGGAGGAACAGAGAACTCAGACCCAGGGGAGGCGACTTCCCGACCTGAGTTCCTCTTTGCCACTCTGCTTCCTCGGTGCCTGTCATGTTCAGGCCCCAAGGGCTGTCCCTGCTGGGTGGAGGCCTGGCAGATGGTTGCTTCACAGGGCTGCTGTGTCATCACTACTCTGCTGAGCCCAAGCCGGGCTCGAGCTGCCTGCCTGGCTCTCAAGC